CTTTCTTTCTTTCTTTCTTTCTTTCTTTCTTTCTTTCTTTCTTTCTTCCTTTCTTGCTTTCTTTCTTTCTTCCTTTCTTGCTTTCCTTCCTTCCTTCCTGACTTCCTTCCTTCTTTCTTTGCTGAGGTTTTATCTTCTAATTTTTGAGATGTACGAATTCTTGATATATTCTGGGTACAAATTCCTTTTTAGATGCATGGCATAAGACATGTAAATATTTACTCCTGTGATTTTTAAAAAAAATTTTCTTAATTGTATACTTAGAGGAGTAAATGTTTTTATTTATTTATTTAAGATTTTATTTATTTATTTGATAGAGAGAGAGTGCGCATGAGCACAAGCAAGGGGAGCAGGGAGGGAGAGGGAGAAGCAGGCTCTGGGCTGAGCAGAGAGCCTGATGGACCCTGGGATCATGACCGGAGCAGAAGGCAGGTGCCTGACCCACTGAGCCACCGGGTGTCCCAAGCAAATGTTTTTAATTACTTACTTAATTTTTTAGAAAGAGAGAGAGCAAGCACCTGAGTGGGAGTGGGGGGAGGGGCAGAGGGAGAGGGAGAGAGAGAATTGTAAGTAGGCTCTAGGCCAGTGTGGAGCCCAACACAGGGCTCCATCTCACGACCCTGAAATCATGACCTGAGCCAAAAACCAAGAGTCAGACGCTTAGCTGACTGAGCCACCCTGGTGCCCCTAATATTTTTAATTTTTGTATGGTCCACTGGATTCCTCTTTCATGGTTCATGCTTTTAGTGTTACTAAGTGTTCTCTACTTAATCCCTCATTTGTTTACTTCTTCTCAGGGCCAAGGAATAGAAAGCAAGGAGTCCCTCTGAGTCAGGGCATGCCTGATGGATCTAGTCTTAGGGAGCATTCAATCAATAACTTGATTGATATCTATTTGATAATTATTTAATGAGCACTTACTCTGTGCCAGACACTCTTAGAGGCACTGGGGATACAATGGTAAAGAAAACCAACTTTCTGCTCTATGGAATTTATGTTCCAGTGGGTGATAAACAAGGAGCATCAGGTGCTCTGGGGGCCTCCAACCAGATCCTCTTTGCTAGGCCATGACACCCAACCTCCAGCTGTTGTGGGGTGTTGGCTGCTCATGACTCATTCTTGTATTCTATTTCTCGAACAGAGTGATCTTGTCTGACAGATGTTACTTTGCTTGAGGATGCTATGGAAGTTGTTATCACCCCACGCTGGGAGTAGCCTTGGCCAATGACTGAATGATTTAGGGATATAACAGCCCACACTTCTTGTGTCTCTGGGCAGGAAAGTTTTTGTGATGCTGGTCATGCTCCAGAGCTCCGTATGAGATCAAGTGGAGGCAGGTTCTCTTCTCTTGCAATCACATCGACATGGCTAGCTTCTTCTCCTGCCCTATTCTTCATCCTTCACTCTTCTACAGGTTTCTTCTGAGAGACCTCCTTCAGTAAACCACACACACAAATGGTTTTAGGAAACCCAACCTAAAATGTTGGATGTCAAAAAGAGTCCTGGGGAAGGACTCTGAAAGAGATTTTGGAATAGGGTCCCTCATAGGTCAGATGTCAGTGAGAACCCCAACCTTGGTGATACAGGGATTGTTGAGCACCCCGTCCCCAAGCCTAAGGCAGTGTGTTAATACTTTCTTTAGTGATGAACTGGGATGGGATACAGGAGGAAGGAGATGCACTCGTTTGTGCCATATCCCTGGTGTTTGAGAATTAGGGTGAAAAATAACTAAAAAGACTGTGGAATTGAGTGGTTACTGCTGAGCAATACAGGTGTTTTGAAGAGAGAGAAGAACTGGCTCATATATTAATAACCAATTCAGTGTGTAGTGCAAGAGTCTGGGCGCTCCCTTGGCAACATCTACAAAGGTCCTCGCCTGCAGCGAAGGTCAGGCAGAGGTGGGCACCAGACTCACAACATAATGGTAAGGGTTGCAGAATTTCAGTGAAGGTTGTTTTTGCTATTGAAGCAAGTTTCCAACATCAAAGTTGGGGTCCTAATGGGGAATGAGTAGTAATGCAAGTCCCCTGGCAGGTGCAGTTGAAAACTTTGAGCCTCCACCTTCCCTTGAGCCTGAGTAAAGGAGAAAACTGAGGAAAACTGAGTTTTCCCAAAATACAGACATACACACATGTAAAGAAAGCCAGAGATTGGCGGGAGGCACCTAAAAGTTAAAAGACACTGAAGATTGCCACCAGAAGCTGGAAGAAACTAGGCAAGCTCTTTCCCTACAGTCTTCACAGGGAGTATGGCCCTGCTGACACTTAGGTATTGGACTTCTGGCGTCTATAACTGTGAGACAATAAATCTCCATTGTTTTAAGCCACCGAATTTGTGGTGTTTTGTTATGGTGGCCCTAGGAAACAATATAGTGAAGAACGGTGGAAAAGGCATATTAACAGCACAATTGGTAGTAGCTATAAACGTGTGAATTTCCATAGCTCCAAGGCAGGATTCAATGACCATAATTAGTTTCTCCATAATCAGCAGAATTTCATGTTACCTGTCTTAAACCTAAAGGTTTCAGCTAATGAACCGATCATTAATATTTTACTTCTCTGATATCACTTCATGACCTGTGTTTGGATCTTCAGTGTCACATACACCTTTGTTTTTCTGAATGAATACCAAACCTCTCCCTCCCCCCCAAAATTCATGTTTCAATCTTTTTCAAATGTAATAGGCTTTGAAGCTGACCTGCCAGTATAAGGCTCACCTCTTCCTATGGGCCGCAAAGCAAATCTGAGAAAGAATGTTGAGGGGGAATATTGAGTCTTTGGGGATAAACAACCTCTAGTTTTGGTTAAAAAAAACTGAGGTGTGAGGTTCCCAGATTCCTAGTGGGAGGGCAGCCTCCTCCCTTCTTCCTGCAGTGCACTGTGGCTCTTACAGATGACACATTCTTGTTTCAAAGTTTTGAGTCTGCAGTCTTTTGTTTTTTCTTGCCTCATTGCTCTGGCTGGAACTTCCAGTACTATGTTTAATAGAACAGGCAGAAGTAGGCATCCTTGTCTTATTCCTGGTCTTTCATGTTCAAGTATGATATTAGCTGTGGGTTTCTCATAGGTAGTCTTTATTACATTAAGGAAGTTCTTGTAGTCCTTGTTTATTGAATGTTTTTGTCATGACAGGGTGCTGGATTTTGTCAAAAGCTTTTTTGGCATCACTTGGAATGATAATGTGTTTTCCCCCTTCATTTTATCAATTTGGTATATTACATGGATTGATTTTTGCATGTTGAACCATTCTTGCATTCTGGAAATAAATCCCATTTGGTCATGGGTATATAATCCTTTTAACATGCTGCCAGCTTTGGTTTGCTAGTATTTTGTTGTGAATTTTTACATCTATATTCATAAGGGATATTGTTCTGTAGTTCTCTTTTCTTGTGATGCCATTGTTTGGTTTGGTAGCAAGGTAAGGCTGTTCTCAGAAGTATTTTCTCCTTTTCAAATTTTTTTTGGAGGAATTTGAGAGAGATTAGTGCTTACTCTTCATTAAATGTTTGGTAGAATTCACCATTGAAATCATCTAGTTCTGGGCTTTTCTTTGTTGGTAGGTTTATGATTAGTGGTTTAACCTCCTTAGTTGTTACAGTTCTACTCAGATGTTCTTTTTCATCTTGAGTCAATTTTGGCGGGTTATATATTTCTAAAAATCTATGCATTTAATCTAGGTTATCTAATTTGTTAGTGTAGAATTTTTCATAGTGTTCCCTTACAATACTTTTTATTTTTGTAGATTCAGTAGTAATGCCCCCGCATTCATTTTTAATTTTGGAAATTTGAGTTTCTCTTCTGTCTCTGTCTCTCTCTCTTTCCCATCAATCTAGCTAAATGTCAATTTTGCTGACTTTTTCAAATAATAAATTTTTGGTTTTATTGATTCTCTCTGTTGTTTTTCTATTCTCTATTTTATTTATGTCTGCCCTAACCTTTATTTTGCCCTTTATTCTGTGGTTCTCATTGTAACTTGACATTCCTTTTCTAGTTCTTCAAGGTATGCAGTGAAGTTATTGATTTGAGATCTTTTTTTAAATATATGCATTTACATCTATAAATTTCCCTCTTAATACTGCTTTTGCTGCATCTTATTCATTCTAGTATGTTGTGTTTAATTAAAACATTCATTTATTAATTCATTCATTTTAAGATATTTTCTAACTTCTCTTATGATTTCTTCTTTGACACATTAGTTGTTTAAAATTGTGCTGCTTGATTTCTACATATTTGTGAAATTTCCAGTTTTCCTTCTGTTATTCATTTCTGGTTTTACTCCCTTGTGATTAGAAAAAATGCTGTATATGGATTCAATCTTTAAAAATGTATTAAGACTTCTTTTGTGGCACAACATATGGTCTATCCTGAATAATGTTGAATGCACTTGAGAAGGATATGTATTCTGCTAGTGTTAAACCAAGTGCTCTGTATATCTGTGAGGTCCAATTGGTTTATTGTGTTGTTCAAATCTTCTGTTTCCTTATTGATCTATCTGATTGTTATAGTCATTATTGAGAGTATTAAAGTCTACTTTAATACTTTACTTTATTTACTTTAATTAAATACAATATTTAATACAATATTGACTGTATTAAAGTCTACAACTGTTATTGTCAAACTGTCTAGTCTTGCTTCAGTTCTTTCAATATTTGCTTCCTATATTTGGGGGCTCTTGTGTTAGGTGCATATATGTTTATTATTGTTATATCTTTTTGCTGGTTTGAACCTCTATCGATATATAACGTCCTTCTTTGTGTCTTGTCATCTTTTTGATTTAAGGTCTATTTTGTTTGACAATAATATAGCCTCTCAGCTCTCCTTTGGAACATTTTGGATGGAATATCTTTTCCCGTCATTTTACTTTCAACCTTTGTGTGTCTTTGCGTGTAGAGTGAGTCTCTTGTGGACAGATGGAACATGTTTTTTTGTTTGTTTTTGCTTTTGTTTTCCTTTTTTCGCCAATGTGCCTATCTCTTCCTTTTAATAGGGAAGCTTAACCCATTTACATTTAAAGCATTTACTGATAAGAAAGGATTTCCTTCTGTAATTTGGCTATTTGTTACATGTTTTGTTCCTCATTTCCTCCATTACAGACTTTTTTGATTTTTAGTTGATTTTTCATAATGTACTAATTTGATTTCCCTTATTTTTCCTCTTTCTTTCCTTCTTTTCCTTCTTTTTCTTAAAAATTTTCTTAAAAATTTTATTCTCTTAGTGGTTATCTTGGGGACTACAATTAACATTTTAACCTCATAGCAACCTAGTTTTAATAATACCAACTTATTTTCAATAGTATAAAAACATTTTGCTCCTATACATCTCTGTCCCTCCTTTATATTGTTATTGTCACAGATTGAAGTTTTTTTGAAGATTTTATTTATTTATTTGTGTGTGTGTGAGAGAGAGAGCACAAGCAGGGGGAGCAGCAGGCAGAGGGAGAAGCAGGCTTCCCACTGAGCAGAGAGCCCAATGTGGGACTCGATCCCAAGACCCTGGGATCGTGACCTGAGCTGAAGACAGAGGCTTAACCGACTGAGCCATCCAGGCGCCCCACAGATTGCGTTTTTATTCATTGTGTTCCCTTTAACATACGGTATTGTTTTGTGCATTTGCCTTTGAAATGAAAGGTTGGTTTAACATTAAAAATCAATTATTATAATTCATTACATGAGCATAATAAAGGAAAAAATAACATCTCCAAAGACACAGAGGGAGCATTTAATAAATTCAACATCCTTTAATGATAAAAACTTACAGCAATCTAGAAATAGAGTATTCTCCATCTGCTAAAGAATATCAACAAAATATCTAAAATGACAACATAGTTAAGGGTAGGCAATTAAAATTGGAATTGCTATCATTACTTCTTATTAATACCGCACTGAAATCTTAGCCAGTACAATAAAACAAAAGCAAGAAGCAAAAGGATTGAAAAAGAAGAAATAGAAGTCATTACTTACAGATCACATTATTATGTAGGTAGAAAACAAAAAGAAACTCTATATAGATTTAATAAAATTATTTAGCAAGGTTACTGGTTATAAAATCAAAATAGAAAAATAAGTGGTGTTTCTATGTATCAACATGTCTAGAAAAAGACATTTGAAAATTATGCTATTTATAAGGGCATCAAAAAACATAAAATACTTGTGACTAATCTAAGTAAAGTACTGTAAGAATTCTACACACAAAACTATAAGACATTATTGAGGAAATTAAGTAAAATCTAAATAAAAAGAAGGATATATTGTGGTCATGGACTGGAAGACAATATTGTGAAAACATTAATTCTACACCAACATCTATTGATCTATAGATTCAATGCAATCTCAGCAATATCTCAGCAGGGTGTGTGTGTGTGATGTTGATTCAAAAAACAGATGGAAATGCAAATGACCAAAAATAGTCAGGACGATCTTTAAGAAGAAAAACAAAATGGAGAGTTACTCTTCCAGATATTAAGACCTATCATAAGGCTACAGTAATTTAGACAATGTGGTGTTCGTGCATGGATGGACTATAGTCCAGGTGGATTGTAAATATAAAAGTGAAAGGTAAAACAATAAAGTTTAAAGAAAGAGAAGATTTATATTCTTACAGGAGAATATTTATTTATGTTAGGGCAAGCAAAGATTTTTTTAAAACAGAACACAAAAATATTATAAATGTAAAAGAAGATATTAAATTTATTATTAAATTAAATAATATTCTTAGAGTATATTAAAAGTAAGGTCTTCTGTTTTTCCAGTTCCGAGAATGAAAAGGTAATCTACAGAGTGAGAAAGAAGATTTGCAGAAATGTAATTGACAAAAGGGCTCACTTCCAGATTATAATAAAGAATTCCTATAAATCAAAAAGAAAAAGGATGCCTTGGTGGCTCAGGTCATGATCCCAGGGGAGTCTGCTTCTCTCTTTCTCTCTCTCTCTCCCTCTGCCCCTCCCCTCTGCTTATTCACGCGCTCTCTCTCTCAAATAAATAAATAAATAAAATCTTTAAAAAGACAACCCATTTAAAAAAGGGCCAAAAGATGTGACCCAGTGCTTCACATAAAACAATATATAAATGAACAATAAACACGAAGGGGTGCTCAACCATATTAACCATCAGGAAAATGCAATTTAAAACTACAAGGGGGGAGCGTGCCTGGCTGGCTCAGTCGGTGGAGCGTGCGACTCTTGATCTTGGGGTTGTGAGTTCGAGCCCCACGTTGGGTGTAGAGATTACTTAAAAATAAAATCTCTAAAAACACTACAAAACCACAAGGGATCCCATTACAGAACACCTAAAATGGAAGGCTGACAACACTGGGTTTGTTGGTGTGATATGAAGCGATCAGAACTTTCACACTTGGCAGGTGTAGGTGATATAGTGACACCTGCTTTGGAAAATTGGCATCATCTAATAAAGTTGAGCATAGGAAAATCCACTCCTAGATAGATACTCAGCACAAATGTACACATATGGTCACTAAAAGGCACAGAAATGCACCAATTTTATTTATAAATGTGTGCAAAAGTTCTCATAAAAATATTAGTGAGCGCTCAGTAAAGATGAAAAGGCCTACGGGCATAAAGGAAAGGTGCTCGGGAATCATCGGGGAAAGGCAAGTAAAAACCATAGCAAGATATCATCTCACAGTGTTACGATGGCTACAACCCATCCAACGTGAAATCCCAGACAAAAGACACCGGGTACTGTTGAGGATGTGGAGAAACTGGAACCTTGTTCACTCCTGGTGGTGGGAATGCAACATGGTGTTGTGCCATGGAAAGCAGTGTGGAGGCTCCCCAAACACTGATGGAACTACCTTCCCATCAGCAATACTACTCCTGGGTATAAACCCCAAAGAACTGAAATCAGGATCTCCAAGAGATACCTACACTTCTACGTTCATTGAAGCATTATTTACAGAGGCAAAGCCCTGGTGGATGAGTGGATAAAGGACATGTGGTGTATACATACAATGAAATATTGTTCAGCCATAAGGAAAAAGTTAATTCTGCCACTTACTGCACGAAATAAGGCATACACAGAAGGACAAAGATGATTCCACTTACCTGAGGGAGCTGGTAGTCAAATGTATAGAGATAGCAAGTGGAATGATGATTGCCAGGGGCTGGGGGAGGGAGGGTTGGGGAGCTGGTGTTTAATGGGTATACAGTTTCAGTTATGGAGGCTGGGTAAGTCCTAGAGACCTACTATAAAGCATAATGCGTTATACTTAACAATACTGTATTGTACACTTAAATTTTTTTTTAAATTTTATTTAGTTAGTTATTTGAGAGGGGAGGGGGTAGCACGAGCAGGGGGAAGGGCAGGGGCGGGGAGGCTCAGGCCGACTCCTCACTGAGCCCAGAGCCCCATGTGGGGCTCGATTGCACCACCCTGAGATCATGACCTGAGCCGAAACCGTGAGTCAGTTGTTTAACCGACTGAGCCACCCAGGTGCCCCAAAAATTTTCTTTAAAGAGGATAGCTCTTACAGTAACTGTTCTTATCATGCTTGCTTGGGCAGAACATACACTAAAACGAAAACAATACAGAGAAGATTAGCATGGTCCCTGCACAAGGATGACACGCAAGTTCGTGAAGTGTTCCATGTTAGAAAAAAAAGTTCTTATCACACACAAATAAAGAAGGAAAGAGGAAACTTAGAAGTGATGGTCAAGCTTTTGACATTGTGGTGATGGTTTCGTGGGTGTTTACTTATCTTTAAACTCATCAATATGTAATATTATATATATACAACATTTTTGTATATCAGTCATACCTCAGAGAAAAAAAAACAAATGTAGGGTTTTTTAAACCACTAACATAAAGTGAACTCACAATTCTTTGTTAGTTTTTGTTGGCTTCTTGTCATACTTGAGTTAGTTTTGTTCCTTTTGATGAATAATTTCCATTTTTGGAAGAATAGACAAAAGATATTTTTATCCTAAAAATATTTTTGGTCAAATAAGTGTCTTTACATGAGATTATCTGTGATTTTAAATAAACATTACACATTAAAAAAATTTTTTTTACCAAAAATCTCACTTTGACTGCTGTTCGGAGAATAGCCTGAAGGGGGCGAGAGTGGATACAGGAAGACCTATCAGGAGGCTTCTGGAGGTGAACCACTGAGAGCTTTAGACTCTTGACGGGTTCAACCTACACATGAAGGTGCCTAAGGAAATGGGCAAAAGAGTAAGAACAGAATACATCATTTCTGAGGTAAGTAGAAGAAAAAACTGGAATGAGAAAAAAATCCGAGAAAAGGCAAGGAGGATGAGTAAAAGAAATATAGAAAAGGAGGGACAGGGGCGCCTGGGTGGCTCACTCGGTTAAGCAACTGCATTCCGCTCAGGTCACGATCCCAGGGTCCTGGGACTGAGCCCTGGGGTCAGGCTCCCTGCTCAGAGGGGAGTCTGCTTCTCCCTCTTCCTCTGTCCCTCCACCCCCTCGTGCTCGCGCTCTTTCACTGTCTCTCTCTCAAATAAATAAATAAAATCTTAAAAAAAAAGGAGGGACAATCAGAAATCACAAAATAAATCCAAACCCATAATTTGCGTAATTGGAATTAACGCAGATGCTCTAAATCTCCACCACCTGATAGAGTGGCCACGCGCTGTGGAGCCCTGGGAAGGTGGGCGGTCTGGGCTGAGATCCATCCGGCGTTAGTGGGAAATGCACTCAGAATTTGGAGACCTAGAATGAAAAAAAGTATAAAGCATCTTAGTAATAATTTTATACTGATTACACCTAAGAATGATTAACATTCTAGATACATTGCTAAATAAAATATATTATTAAAATTCACTAATTTTTAAACTTTTAATTGTGGCTGCCAGAAAAGACTTAAATTACAGAGATGGCTCATATTACGTTTATACTGGACAGCATTGTTCTAAATAGTCAAATTAAAAGACAATTATTGTCAGGCTGGATAAGAAAACTTAAAATCCAGCAACATGTTGTTGACATTTAAACATACAAGACATAACAAGTTGTTAATTAAAGGTTGTAAAAAGCCAGAAAGAATAGTCTTAGAAAAATTATAGAACATCTTCCTCCTAAGCACAAATGCAAAAATCCTACCTAAAATATCAGTAAATTGAATCTAGCAATGTATTAAAAAATACATGCTGATCGGGGTGCCTGGGTGGTTCAGTTGGTTAAGTTGGTTAAGCGACTGCCTTTGGCTCAAGTCATGATCCCAGGGTCCTGGGATTGAGCCCACGTCGGGCTCCCTGCTCAGCAGGGAGCCTGTTTCTCCCTCTCCTTTTGCCTGCTGCTCTGCCTACTTCTGCTCTCTATCTCTCTGTCAAATAAATAAATAAATAAATAAATAAATAAATAAATAAATAATCTTAAAAAAAATACATCCTGATCAAGTTGGATCTATTCCAGGAATAAAAGGTTGGATGATTAACATTAGAATACTGATGAACATTGTCAATCCAAAGGGGAGAGACTATGTGATACTCTTAAGATTATGTGACACAGAGAAAACGTTTAATAAAATTCCACATTTATTCATGATTTTTGCAAAATCTCTTAGCAAATTAGGAATAGAAGGGGATTTCCTTCATCTGGTAAGAGCTATCTAAAAAACTGAACAGCAGATCCATCCTTAATGGTGAAACAGGAAAAGCATTCACTTAAAGATCAGAAACAAGACAAGGATGTCCAGTATTTCAATGTCATTGTGATGGCTACAAACATCCATTGCATTGTATATACCAGCAGCAGATGTGGGAAAATGTAACTTCAAAAAGAGATGCCATTTACAATAGCACCAACAAATGTAACACACTTAGAAAGAAATGTAAACATGATGTAAATTATTTATGGAGAAAATTATGAAGCATTCTGGAGAAACATGCAAGAAGACCCTAGTGGAGAAAGAGTTATATCATGTCCATTGATTGGAAGACTCAGTATGAAGATATCCATACTTTGAATTTTGATCTACAGATTCCATGCAGTTCCAATAAAAATCTCAACAGGGTTTTTCATGGAAGTTGACAAGCAGAATAAAAGGCCTACATAACAGAGATCACCCTGAAGATGAAGAATAAGAAGGGCCTTGCCCTCCCTGAAGCAGGACTTATTATATTCATTATATTAACGAAAGCAGTGTGGTACTGGTATCGGTAGAGACCCACTGGCCAGTGGGATAGGGTTTATCTGCCTGGCTTCTTCTTGGGAAATGAAGGATGCTCTCAGATGACTTCCTTGTCGTCAGGAAGATGACAACTTATTGCTTCCTCTAAGTTGGATATGAGTCTGGGATACATACTAGTCCTGTTTTTTCTCTTAATTTCACAGATTTTAACCTAAAATTCAGGTACATCCTACAATGGATGCCTACATTATATGAGTTAGTATTTCTTTATGCCAAACTAGGCTGTTATTAAGTTGGATTTAGAATATATGTGTGTATCCATCCATTCATTATTCATCCACTCACTGTTTTATCTATACACCCATCCATCTATCCAGCTGATCATCCACCTATCTCCTGCCCATCCATACATCTGTTATCCATCCATCCGTCTACCCACACATCTTCTCACCCACCCATCCATACTTTGACCCATCTACCCATTTATTCATCCATCGCCTACCCATCTACCCACCCACCTGCCTACCCATTTATCTGTCCATCTATTCATCTCTCTGTCTGCTTGTCCGTCTATCTGCATGATAATAGAAAAGAGCTTGGAAGTCTATCCATTACCTACTGATGCATAACAAACCACCCTAAAACTTACTGGTGTAAACCAACAACTGTTGTGTTTGCTTACAGTTTAGTGAGATGGCCCTGCAGGGCTTGTCAGGGATGGTCAGTTTCAGCTCCACGAGCCGGGGCAGCTCATCTGGTGCGGGTAGAGTGACGATGGCCTCAGTCCCATGTCTGTCACCCTCCAGGATCTCTCTGTCCACCCATCCTCACTCACAGGATAGCTGTCCTTCTTTGCACTCAGGGCTCTGAGAAGGCCAAAGTGGAAGCTTCTCTGCCTGCTAAGGCCTAGATGCTGGGATTCATGTAATTCACTCTGTGAATTTCTTTGGTCAAGGTAAGTCACAGTCAATTTATTCAACCATTATTGTTTTAGAACCTACTGTGTATTAGGCACTGTTCTGCATTCCGGCAATAAGAGGGGAACAAAACACAAAACACAAGAGACAAATGTCTCTGTCCTCACGGGCTTTCTGTTAAGTAGAAACTCCACACTCACTCGCATGTGAAGCAGGTCTGAGGTCTTTATTTCTCGCAGGTGACTTTTCTCCCCATCCACATAGGTAGAGTTTTTCTAGACTTCCTTAATCAGAACAGACTACTCTTTCAGGCTCCAGGTTCTGGGTGGGGCTTCAGTTTCCTTTTGTCTGCATCCCACAGATCTGAGCTGCATCTCTGTCCTTAGAGGCTCTCAGATCCCCACTCCTTTGCGCCATCGAGTCTACTTTTGGAACTAAACCCTGGGTCCACTAACAACAACAGCTCCATTTTCACTCTGGCTTCAGTTTCTCTCTTCCTTTTCACATCTAAGGGTTTTTCTTTCTTTCTTTCAAGCTCATCTACATGTTACAATGTTTTATTATACTTTCTTCAGCACACCTTTGTTGGTAGTAGGGGCAGGGTGGCTCTGTGTCTGCTGAGGCCACTCTAAATAGATGGGGTTTCCAGGAAACAGACTGAAATGGAGATCTGCAGGCTGGGTGCTAACTGGAAAATGCTGCCACGTTCACCTATGAGGGTGTGAGGGAAGGAGGACGGGCAGAGGGATATTCGGATGTGACAATTCAGTGGCCTTCACAGGGAGCTCTGAAGCTGAGGTGGATCTTCAGAATCATCCCTGATTACTCCCCCAGTTTTGACCAAATCCCAAACATCATCACTTTAGGCTTTTGGAGATCGATGCCAGGAAGGGACTCATAGGTTCTACCTGCTCCCCACCATCTCTCTTGGGAAGGAACGAAAACACAAAACCAACTACTCCTTGACTAGGGAAAGGGGCAGGGGAACCAGTCGACCCTTGAACAACATGGGTTTGAACTGTGAGAGTCCACTTATATACATTCTTTTTTCAATACATATATTGGAAACATCTTTGGAGACTGGTGGCGATTTGAAAAAATATGCAGATGAACTCTGTAGCCTAGAAATATCGACAAGTTAAGAAAAAGTTAGGTATGTCAGGAATGTCGGATACTGGTCTATTTTATCACTTGCTACCATAAAATGTACACAAATCTGTGATAAAAAGTTAACATTTATCAAAACTTGTGCACACAAACACAGACCATACATGGTGCCATTCACAGCATATCCTTATGTAGTCATAAGGTGAGTGATATTTAATGTAAAATTACTAACGTGTTAGTTTTCTTACTGTTTTCTAACTTTGTTTTCAAAGAATTAGAGGAATTGTGAGTCAGCCTATCATCACAGGCATTTTTTTAAAAAATGCAAGAATGTCTCCGATACTGTATCATGAACATGAGAGTAATACTGTCTGTCATTAAAATTTTGTAACAATTCATTGGTGTATAGGCCGGGCCACAGTAAAGCAACTGTAATGGGTTATACCAGGCCACCACAAAGCAATCTTATTGCTGC